ATTAAAAGTTGATTGGGTTAGGGTGGGGATAAAAGACAAGAAAAAGCAAGGAAAAAAGAAGAGAAGGTGAAAAAATGGTGAGAGGTAGAAGATAAAGAAAGGAAAGAATGAGAGGGTGAGGCAGAATTAAGTAAGAAATAGCTTAAAGCAAAGAGTGATTGTTGAAAAATGAAGAGAGGAATCATTTCACCCCAAGCAAGGCAATAAAACCACTAAGACACAAGGGGTTACTGAGTGTGAAAGAATAAGAGAAAAATATACTATGAAGGAGAGAGGACAATAAAAAAACAAAAATTAAGACAGAAGATAATGATTGATATTGTATTTTAATTTTTAAAGATCAAAGGTGACTGGAAAGTAAGAACCTGGAAGAGAATTTCACAAGCAAGAAGTATGACAGAAGAAACTGTTAGCATAGAACTTACGGTACATCTGGCCATCTCAACTGTAAAATGATGAGACCTTGCAGCCAATCTAGTACAATCTAACTGAAAAAGAAAATTACTTTATTTAAAAGTAAAAAAAAACATAGTTATTCTTTATTTGGCTGAAAGATTCATTTCATTAAAATTATCCATTCCAGCATCATTATCATCATTATTCTAAAAGTAAATGGCCAACTGCTTGTATACTGCATGAATTTAAGCATTCTACTAGACTGGCAACTAGGTACGATGAATAGATGTTCCCTCACAGAGGCCCCGTACCTTGAGCGACTATTGGGCCTTAAATGATCCATCACTAAAAATCCTGGAAAAATAGTCAGTTCTCTGTACCGCACCAGTAAGTACCTGACTTCTTGTGCTATCCTCTACCATTACAAGAGTCAGATCAGTTCTAAAATGGAGTACTACTGTCATATTTGGGCAGGAGTTCCCAGTCTTCACTTTCTAGTCTCAATAGAGTCCAAACGTGTCTCCATGTTCTTGTGGGGGACAAATTATTTTCAACCCTACAACCCCTTTCTCACAGATGAAACATCTCATGCCTCTCACTGCTCTATCACTATTTCCATGGCAAGTATTCAAATGAACTATATTCCTTGGTTCCACCAATTCTAACCTTCATGACTAAGACCCACCATGCTACACACATTATAGTAAACCACCATCATTCCCTTCATATTCCATTGGTGAGATGTAAGTTCCACTCGAGTAGTGTTTTCCAGCAAACTACTGCTCTATGGAATTGACTCCCAAGTGGATGTTTTCCCAATCACTACAATTGTAACCTTTTCAAGTCTGGGGTTAACCATTATCTTACCCATTTATCTGCATAAACTGTGTCTCTTACTTTGTAATGCTCTCCCTCAAGTGGCTCTCGCGCCTTGTACAGGGTGAACTGTAAAAAAATAAAGTTCCCAGCATTTTACTGTTGAAATAGCAAAATGTAACAGTATGATCGATTCTAATAGTTTCTTTTCTCACACTTCTCACCTGCGGAACTCTTTTCTGGTTTCTTACTTTCTTGTCACCTACAATCGTCCTGAATCCTGTCCTTTTCTCCTTCTTGATGTTTTTTCATTTTCTTTCACTCCTTGTAGCCTCTTGCACCTTAATAGCATTATAACCTTGCTTGGGAGTGAAATGATTAAAAAAAAATACCCATTTGCTAAGGTAGTTAGCTAATCCCTGTTGCAGACACATGCTCAGACACATTTTCTTTTACTTCAATACTTACAGAGTCAGCCTGTTGTTTATACTGCAACTATGTTTTTTGCTGTATTTTATTAATGCTCACCCAATATGAGACCCAAGTAGAGGGTCACTGTGTGGTATTGTATGATTGTAAGAAAAAGTGAAGTTCTTGAAGTGAAGGCTAAAAGTTGTAAACTTTAGAAGTAACTGGAAATCAACTCTAACAGGAAACATGGGATAAATCTCTATTCCTATCCAAAAGACCAAGGAGGAGTGTGAACTGAACAATAGGTGGACCTATCTAATCCTATTAACAAAAAAAAAAAGAACAATAAATAAAATTTCAGGGTTTAAATGGAGACATTAGAAGTATAGTGTGGAAGTATACTTGTGACTTCAAGCTAGCACAAACATCAATGGATTCCAAACAGTTGCATTTACCCAGTTTCACTTACAAGACTTGGGCCAATCTGTGATATAGTTTTCAGCCTCTTCCCAATGATGCCACACATTAGGATCATTTCCCCAGGCTGATAATATCAATAACTCACCACCTTGACAAATCAATATACTTGTTGTGTATGTTGGCTTGGGAGAGTAGTGATTCTGTTAGGAAAGGTGAGATTGGGAAAAAACCAGGGCGTATATTATATTATTCGGCGACACTTGTGAGATCTCTTTTGTGCATCTATGAGCACAAAAGTGACCTCATAAATATCAATGCACTGGTCATACATAGAAATAAATTCAACCACAATTTTGATTTTAAAAATGTTGCACTCATAAAAAAAAAGAAAATAATTTACTTAGAAGGAAAATGCTTGGGAGTGCAGCCATTCAATGTTATCCAAATATTAATATATGCCCCGGTTTTTTCCCAATCTCACCTTTCCTAACAGAATCACTACTCTCCCAAGCCAATGGACAGAACAAATATATCAAGAAATCAAAAGAAAATGATTGAATCCATCAACACAATACAAACAATATTTCTACATGTTTCAAACAAAAAAATAAATAACTTAATTTTTCAGTTGACCCAATGAATATATCATAGCATTTCTAAATTCTTCTAATTACTAATGGCATTTTGTTTATTGTTTATAGATACTTTATTTCAATAAATTAATTTTGTGTTTTGCCTTGAAAAAGTCCACACTGGACGAAATGCATCAGCTAAAACTACACACAGTTTTCCTATTGTCTTCGTTTTTCCTTTGTATATATTGTCTTTTTCTACAGATTAATTCTGAGAATTATATATATATATATATATATATACAAAGGAAGTGCATTCAGACCAGGACAACATATCATCAGTATCACCTCACAACAAATTAAACATTTATTTTTTTTATTTCTACAATTACATGAAATAGTATTGTTATTATAGATACTATAATTATTTTAAGTACTACAGTTATTATTGAAATTAATATTGTTTATATTGTCCATTTTTTGTTATGTTTATCATTTTTTCCATATTTTCTATGCAACTGTAACTTAATTTAATATTATTTCTATTAATAATTTTTCATGATTTACTATTTTGGGAGAAATGTCTATTAACTAAGTTGAAGAATATATCTGCTATTTTTGTTATTTCATTGTTGTATAGTATGTTAAACCAAAGTATATTTGCCTTTTACTGTTTTTCTGTTTATGCTGTTTTCCATTAAAACAACCATTTTCAATCACTTACTCTTCTTATTTTTTTGTTTCTTTATTAGTTTTTATATCAGTTGCATATCTTAAGTTTTTTAGAATATTTATCATCTCTTTTCTGGTTATATCAATTAATCTGCCTGTGTCAATTCTTCAATAGGCAAAATCTCACTATAATTCTATATCATTTTTACCAGTTATTGTAGCTAGTTTATTGATTATATAAATTCTGACATTCACAAACCTTCATACTATCATACACGGCCATTATAGTATTAAAATTCTTATTTTGACCCCTTTTTGTCTATAAAATTTTATTAAGGAATAATATGGATTTTCTGCAATCTTTTATTATATGTATGTCACCATCAGAAATTTTTATTTATTATTGAGTTAATTTTAATACCTCATTTAGTATATTCTCTTTAATAGAGAGGTCATTATCATGATCACAAGTTCCATAACCTATTAGGATCATAGGGGCACTGCATGCACTGCAGGCATATCAGCTGCAGCTGTAATGTGTCTACAGCTAAGATAACCTGACAGTGCCCAACCCTCTCCATGCTGGTTTGAAATCAGAGTTGTCCTTCTTCTAGAGTGGTTGCCAACCAAGGCTACAGAGCTCAGCCTATCCTGTTACTTACCCATAGCTGGTGGGGAGAGATGGATTCATACCTTTCCCAAAGGTATTTGAACATAAGTGAATGTAACAAACTAGACTGAAATTTGAACTTGGATCTCTAATTTCTCATTTTGAGCCAGTATCCATTTCACTACAAGGCATCCACCATCAGAAGAGTAAAAATCTTTAATAAATACAGTTTATATTATTTACATTGTCCGGACTGTTGTCCTCATCTTTATTGCTATGTTCATGGTGAACGTAACAATAAAGATGAGGACAACAGTCAGAACAATATAAATAATGTAAATAATTACAATAACTCATCTCAGAAATATAGACAGATACAGTTTATCTTATTCCTAATATTGTTAAACCAATTTATTGTTGCTTTCATGTTTTTCCATTGGTTTATATTTGATATACATCTTTAAACATATTTTCCAATATATATTTGCTTACTTTTCCTAAGTTGCTTTTAGTAAGATTTAATAATCTTCATGTAGGTTTATTTGTAAAATTATCTTTATGGCCTTTGAATTTAATAAAGGGCTCTACTTTTGTCAAGCATTTAATTCTATTATCTAATTTGAATTTAATTGCTCTGGTTTTCAGTTTCTTTACATATTTGAATTTTTGTTTTTTGTTTGTTTTATAAAATTTTGTGACTTCCTTGTTAACTATTTCATTATATGTATTAGTTTTATAAATTTTTCTCAATTTATCTGCATGTATAAATAATTTTTTTGAATTATTAATCATTTTTAGATCTTTTTAAGTTTCATTTAAAAGCTATTATTTAGTTTTAAATTCTAAAATATTTATGATATTTATCAATTCATTTTTGAATGATATTAGTTTGTTTTTTCATAGTTTTAAGTCAGAAATTATTTTCTGTGTAATTTTTATTGTCTTTATTAAAAAAGAAGTATACTTTTCATTTTAATCATTTTATTCATTTTTCTATTTTTTCAATCAATTTAATTTTGTATTTATGATGATTTGGTTTAGGTATGTTTTAATGAATAATCATAATTTGTTATCTTTATTTAAAACTAGCTGAAATATAATAA